TATCCAACGCTGCGGCGCCTGACAACTTCACGCAGCGGCGCGAGCCCTTACCAAGCGCCGGCGGTTCAACGTCGCGGCTCGTATGCGCCTTTGGCATGCATTCATAATCAGTCTGCTCTACGGTTGTCACTTGCCAACGCCCTTTTTTAGGTGTAGAGATGTGTTGTCACCCAGGCAGACACCTTGAAACTCGCAGTTCCTTCCAAAATTTTATTTCGCTAGTCAAGATGTCAGCTCAAGGTGTACCTTTAGGTTATTTTGGGCTCAGTCAAAACAACACTAAGACATTAAAAAGTTGTGTTAATCGTGTAGCCATACCTCTTTCTAAACGTTTTTTTTTTAATTTTCGATTTTTTTTAAAAGGACTCATGGAGCCACAAAAGCCACCACTTCCAGCCGGCCTTGGACAAAGCAGCTCAGAAACTTTCCATCCACGTTTTCCGAGACCCACATCAGGGAGCGTGGCCATGAAGCAGGAGCTCAGAAGCACTTTATCTCTGGGTACAAGATGTTCAAGGCCGAGAAAGTGTTGAACATTTTTCTTCACACTACCAGTGCTTCTGATACCATCATCAAGGCTGATGTCGAGGCTTCAATGAGTCTTGTGAAGCGCTACCCAGTACATGCGGTGATCGGCCAAGATGGACAAGTAACGAAGGCTTCTTGTGCTTGCAAGGCTGGAAAAGGTGGTGTCTGCAAGCATGTGACTGCTTTACTCTGGCATATGCTCGACCTGGTCAGGGAAGGACGATCCTTCATCCCAGATGCACTGGCGTGCACGGAGCGAGCAATACAATGGGGCCCATCCTCGTCGAAAAGAAGTGCAAGCACCACAATCTTCAAGGGGCTGGACTTTGTGAAGCACGACCCCAACAAAAAGTCGAGAGGTGCGACGAACACTGCACAAGTGGACGTGGATGTTTCACAAGCCGCCCTCAAGGGGCTCCATGCAGAGTTTGTGGAGAACGACATATTTCCTATGTTTGCGGATGTGATCAAGGAAGCTGCATTTACGGCCTTGCCCAGGAAGGTTCAGGGGCGTCCTTCCCTGAAGGTCGCAGCTTCTGTGGCAAGAATCAGCCTGCCCATCAAGGAGTGTTGAACCTTCCAGATGCCACCAAATGATCCCTGTGTTGTGACACTTGAGCAAGCTCACAGCCTGAAAGAATGGACACGTGGCCAAAGCAGAAGCAAGCTGTGGCACTCTGAACGAGGCAAAAGGATCACGGCATCCCAGTTCGGGAAAATTGTGAAACGCAAAGCTGCGGTGAATGAAAAGTTTATACGAAACATCTTCTCTGGCACACATGGTGCAACGCACCATATGAAGGCAGGGCTGAAGAATGAGGCAGCTGCCCTGCAACGCTACCAGATCAAGAAGAGGGTTCAGGTATTCAGTGTTGGACTCTGCGTGAACCCCGGCCTTCCCATGCTGTGGGGCATCGCCAGACGGCCTCGTTTGGGACGAGGACATCCAAGAGTATGGACTTGTCGAAGTCGAGACTGCGTCCCGGGCAATCGCAGCAGGTCTTCAAACCTTCGAGAAAGTGAAGGGCAGAGGGCTTTCAGACTTTATCAAAGAGGGCAAGATAAACAGCAATCATAAGCACTATCACCAAATGACTGGGCAGCTTGCTCTCACCGGACTGGAATGATGTGATCTTGTCGTTGATTGGGAGGTAGACTGTTGGGTTACTCGGGTGCCCTTCGACGAGGAACTATGGAATGATGTAATGGTTCCTCGACTTACAGATTTCTTCTTTAACCACCGAAAAGCCTGAGCGACGACGTGAAGTGCCAAATAAATTGGCTTTTGAAAAGTGAAAAATGCTTGCGTCAGACTTAGTTTCCAAAGCTAGAGATCATGACAGCATGCAAGTAAAAATTGTAGCCGAAATTGCTGTGCGTTTTTCTTGTTAAAATGCGAAACAATATACAGCAGTACTGTGCAACTGCTGCAAAACGGATCCTTAACTTCTACGTCGAATTAAGATGTTCTTGATTACGTGACTCGTATAATCACGCGATTAGTGTTAACGTGACAACTAATCTTGCATAATCACGTCACAGTCTTGATCATATGATTGCGGTACATGTCATCATGGAAGATGGGTACAATACAAATGGATACTTAATTTCAAACGTATGCTTCTATAAAAAGAAATGTTTCAATTTAAGCTTGAATGCAGCGGACGCTTCAAGACGACGGGGCCAATCAAGCAACGACGAAGGCGCAACGTCACAAAGTACATAGCCGGGAGATCCATTCGGATCCAGAAAGTGCAGAGTGGCATTGCACTTTCAACGCTGCTTGATTGGCCGTGTCATTTCGTACCGCCCGCCGCGCTCGGGTTTAAGCACGAAACACATGTACGACGAAACCGTCCGATCCGACGTGCAGACTGCCGGAATGACCCTGGGGGGCAAGGGTTTTCGTAACACCGAAGAGCGTTGAAAACCCTCGCCTCCGACCGTCGTATTGCCTGATCGGACGGTTTTGTTGTACACGTGTTTCGTCCATTTCGTCGTTTTCCCTGAGACTGTTTTTTTTTTTTTTTGAAGAGCAGAAGTAACAGAAAAAACAGACAGGTCTCAAACTATGCTACAAGTTTATTTCTGTTACTTCTGCTCTTCAAAAAAAAAAAAAAAATCCCAGTCTCAGGGTAAACGACGAAATGATTGACTTCCACCAGCTAGCCTGTACTTTGACTCTTTTCACGTGTTTCGTGCTTTAAAGTTAAATGAAGTACAGACTTGCTATGAAAGGGGCCATTGCAGAAATATGAATCCTGGCTTACAACAGCACAAAACATGAATATTGCTAACCATACATCCACCTTAGCAGTTGTTCAAGGTTTGAAGATATAGTTTTGTGCATCCTCGAAGCCTCAGTTACTGGTATACCTTATAGCCAGGTCATAAGCACATTCTGGAATTTTAGACCCCCCCCCCCCCCAACTGCTTATGCACCTGCTCCGTAGTTACAAATTATGACGCATGAAGGCAATCTATAAAGTCAAACCTGGAAAACTTTGGCAATGTCTGATTTGTACAACATCTCAAATATAAATACATCTGCAAGACCGCAACACTCTCTTATCCAGGAAGCTACCTTAAGGTCACTGAGGTAGTTAGCCTATCAACGTACACAATCGGGGGTTCTAACTGTTGTAGCCATTGGGTACGTGAATGATAACGGTTTATTCGGGGCGTTGGAGATTATACATCCGAGGACCGACAAGGGACGACATCACCACTGGCTTGTGTCGTAGCAAGTGTCCCAATAAGGTTCGTGCCTTTTCCTGTTTGGCGCATCGCAGCACTGCAGTTGGCGGTCGCCTTTAGGTGCAGCCTCACGACGTTTTTAAAAGAAAGCTACGAGTCCAACTGGTTCGGTGGTCTGCACGAACGTCTACTTCTTGTAACCGCTATGGCTGCACGCCAGAAGATCGAAGATATTGGTTAATCATGCACATGTCTCCCCAGGCTCAAGTGGGTGCTGTAGTATGCCAAGAGACTTGACTGCTGGTTTGCTTAGCAATGCCCCTCTCAGTCCTTTGATGACGAAGACTTGTACCACTCCGATCAATTGTGGCTTTGAAGTACCCCACTGGCGCAATTGGCGTTTGACCTGGACCAGTCAGCGTCTGTGCTGAGGTCTTTAGGGGTCACATGGTCTCCTTGTTGTAGTTGTTGCGTGCAATTGCACTTACGTCTGCTCCAGTGCCAACTTTGAACGTTGGAGGCGAGCTGTTGACAGTGATGGTGACTCTCCATGGTTCCGTGATAGACCGGGTTTTGAGCTCACCGAGGTAAACTTCCTCAACACCCTTGCTGCGCTCTAAGAAGTGTGTCTGTGTTTTGTGCTTGCCCTTTTGTGACAGGCACACTGATGCGAAGTGGCCCTTTTTCCCGCAGTGGTTGCACGCCTCAAGGAAATGCGCTTTCGTGTGGTCGTGTACGCTGCCGCACAGCCTGCAGTGTCCTGCTTCGGTCTTGTTCTTGTTCTAGTGAGATGCTCAAAGGGTGGTTTTCTTGCGGCGATTCTTTCCGACTTGATTGACCGCCTGGGTCGCTTGTTTGCTTTCCCGGAGCTTTTCTGTTGCTGCTTGACTACCTTGGAATTATGCGCCGTCGCGATGGCAGTTTCTAATGTCAGTTCCGAGTTCAGCTGAAATCTTTCGCTCAGCTTGAAATCGACGAGTCCAACGATGAGTCGATCCCTTATCAATTCTTTCAGTTCCCCGTAATCGCATGTTTAGGCCATCTTATAGAGATCCGTAACAAAGGTGTCGAGTTTCTTGTGCTTCTTGTTTTCGGCTGGTGAACTTCGCCCACACATAGATCACGTTCATTCTTGGCGTGATGTGCTTTCCAAACGCTCGTTTCACAGCATCGTGGTCATGCTCCTCGGCGTCTGTTAGTTTCAGCGAGGCCAGGATGTCCTCAGGCTTCTGGCCCATGGCATGAGCGTTCACTTGCGTCTCGTCTTGATTTGTTAAGCCTGATATCACTCGATAGCGTTCCCACCTTGTGAACCAGCGTTTCCAGTCTTCCAGTAGTCGGAAGTCAAGTTTCTCGCAGAGCTCTACCACAAACAGGTTGAGATGTGTTGCCTGCGTAGTTTGCTTGGAGCTTGTCATCTTCAAGCAGGTCAGCGTGGTTTGTTGTCATACCTTGGCCAGCCTGGCGGTAAGGCCTAATGTCCCTCGCACTTCCGCTTGGACGTTTGGCACAGCACGTACGGCCTACCCAGAGCGGTTGCTCACTGACTTCGTGTTGTAAACAGATCCCATCGCTGCCACCATGTCGTAGCCGTTGGGTAGGTATACTGTTAACGGTTTGCCTTACAGATTGTACATACGATGATCGACACAGGACGACGTCACCATGCACTGGCTTGCGTCGCAGCAAGTGCCCCGGCATGGTTCGTGCCTTTTCCTGTTTCGGACATCGTGGCGCTGTAGTCAGCGGTCGTCTCTAGAAGCAGCTTCCCAACACTACCTACGGCTCAGAAGTGGCTCCCGTGTAAAGTTGCAGAGCAACGCACAGATCTTCCAGACTGAGTTCAAGCTCCGGCTCATGCTGTTGGGGAAAGTTCCTCTCAGGATGCGAAATGACTTCATTTGTCCTATGACCCGCTCCACATGAATGTGGACCTTGGCGATGGCCCTCGTCCTAGCTTCATCCTCCAGAGAGAGCTGCGGTTTTCCTCCAAGGAAGAGTGGGATGTTCAGAGTGGCCCCGACAGCTTCTACTTCTTTGGGGATCACAAATCCCCTGTCTGCCATGACGGAGTCACCGGGCTCGAGGAGGGCACACAGTCCGGAATTTGCTGTCAGGGCTTTGTCCGACACCCGGCCAGGTGCGAGGTCGCTCACGAAGGACACAAACCCATTAGGGGTGATACCCAGCAAGCCCTTGACAGTATTATGGCATTTATAGTTCGAATAAGTGTCGCTCTGCACCCTGAAATCACTGTGCGTCTCGATGAATACTTCCGTGCAATCCAAGACTACCCGAGTCGATGGATACACCTCACTAAAGCACTCCGGTATGTACTCGTTAACAACTTGTCGGGAGGGCCAGTAGCTCACTTGTGCAAGGTGGTCTGCCAGGAACCCAACCCAGAAGGTCCATACCCGACTAACTGTGCTGACGTGCACACCGAACCGGTATGCGTGGTCTTGTTCCAGAAGCCCCACCCGGAGGCGTGACAACACGAGCAGGAGCTGCTCCTCCATGGACAGATTCAGTGGCATTTTCTGGGGAGCTTGACGCTGCTTGCAGGAGTCATAGCCCCTTTGCACCAACTTGACAAAGGCTCGGAATTTCTTAAGGGACTCAAATCCTGTGTAGAAAGTGAGTTTCTCGCTGTCCTGCTGCACATCGGTGAGAGTGAAGACCTGGGGAGGCACCGTGGCATCAATGACTTGCTCCGCTTCATCATACATGTTTTTCAGGCGAGCCACTTCTTTGAGCAGGGCTTCATTCTTTTTTCGTTGACAGTCGTCCTTGCGCAGGCTCTCCTTCTCCGAAGAAAGCTCCCCGACTTGTCTAATGCGCTCACGCAGGGGCTGGTCCACTGAAGTCATGATGCTGTACTGGTGATCTGCAAAATGAGAGGGTAGATTGCATCATGGTTTCACCCAGAAATGCACAAGTTACTAAAAAAAAAGCAGTTAAGTTTAGTTACTGAGTATTGGCTTTGAGTAATTTGAGTAGCGTAGAAATTAACAGCTCCAACAGTAACTGAATAAACTAACTATTTTAAAAAGTAGGGTATTACTTTGGAAGTTACTTTCTGTATATTTGTCTCGTTATATATGTGGCAGGAAAGGACAAATCGACCTTCTAAACCGGGAACGAAATCCCCTTAGTCTAATAGAAAGACAGGCACTTTTTGGCTCATGCTTTCACCGAAACCCTTTATTAGCCCAAAGAAGCAACTGGCTCTCGAGCTTTTCGTCCAAGAACTTCCCCTTTTTCCTTCAAAACAGACATCCAACTGAGGCACTTGTTCGGATAGGCCCCTTGTATTTAACGAACTGGCTGTGCTGGCCCGGGTACTTCGGGACGTCTTGCACATCGCTACAAACTACGATAATATAGCGATAGTAAAGGTAATTTACGGGTTTAAAGCACGAAAGTAGGTAACCTGTGTGGAATAGAGGTTCCGTTTCAGCCTCCCGAGTGCGTAGTGAAGGTTTTGAACCCTGAGTGGTCTCTTTCCCAAACAGTCTTTGGGGCATCAATGCTCATAACCTCACTTGCTTTGAGACGTAAAATCCTAATATTCCCTTTTGAAGCAGAAAAATAAAGAAAGTTGGTTTCTTTCTTTCTGTCGTCTGCTACAGGCTGCTCTTGCTTGATGACGTTCGCAATCGCTTGGGGAGGGAGCAACGGCTGCCTTTGTCGTCTGCTCTTAACCACTAGATTTTGAAAGTAATTTGAATTTGAATAGAAGTTACCTGGGAAAAGTATTTACAGTGAACTAGTAATGACCAAAAATAAAAAAAGTAATTTAAAGGTAATAAATGACTCAGGAAAGTAGTGAAACTACAGTAACTTCAGTACAATAATTGTATTATATACGTATATACCAAATACCTGTGCTGATTGCCTCGCTTTATACATTGGCAAAAAAAAAAGAAAAACTTCAGAAAAAGGCTTTGTTAACAAAATAACGATCTGCGCAAGTTCGATCGTGAGCGTAGTGCTCTTGCGGAACGGGAATGAACACTGCACTAGCCCTTGACAACACACTGTTGCCCTGCGCTCTTCTGCTTGTCCCGCTTTGGAATTGTTGGGGAAATGCAAACTCTAGAGAAGCAAAAGTCAAAGTCAAATTTGAATGTTTTACGCGCCAAACAAACGGCGGGTATCTGGCAGGTCCCAGCGGAGGACTGAGGATTAATTTCGACCACCTGGGGATCTTTTGACGTGCAACCGAAAGCTCGGTTACACAGCGCCTCCTCCGTAATAAGCCTCCGTCAGATTGCGGACACCTCGGACGAAATAACTCTAGAGAAGCAACGCTAAACGTTGCTTGCTGGTATACAGTTGCCACCATACCATGCAGCCGCTTGTTCTGGCTATGAATTATAGAGGTAAATGCTGCTCACATTTTTCTGCGACTGTTTTGTGCATGAAACAAAAACTAACACAGACTTCACAGGCTATAGATGTCCATTATTTACTTTGAGGAGCATTTAGTGAAAGCAAAAGAATTGTCTCATGGCCCTTTTAATGCACCTGCCACCTGCCTGCCGTTTGTAAACTGCACACCACTATGTTTACGTGTTCCATGTAGCTACCAGGAGCATTGCACAGCTCAGAGGGGAACAAAATGCAACAAACCACCAACACTGGAGCTCTGAAATCGCTGGCGATTGTTGTTTAGGTATTAATTCAGTCGGATTAGAAGCTTACCATTAGCCACTGCATCATCAGCTCCAGGGGCACCATCAGTGGCCAAGGGGCAGTCAGGCTGTATTGGCCTTTGGGCAGCAGGCAAGGTTACTGTCTGTCCCAGGTCAAGATCTGACAGACAGTGTGCCTGCAGCCGCGGCAACAATGGCTGTGACGTGCAGTGTTTTCCTGTAGAAGACGCCTTTGGACACCCAGGAACATCTGCATGTAAAGATGAGGCAGGTGTTAAATGTGGCTAGTTAAAAAAATGTTATACAGTCTATACAGCATACGACAAGTCGAATGGCCCAGACAAGCATAGCAAATGCAAATAGCTTGGTAGCAGTCACTATTTCTATTTTTAGTTAGCTCTTCTGGAATGTTCCAGTTGATTAAGTCTTCACGTAGTGTTTTCTTGGATGGCATGCACTTGGCAGCTCATAATGCTATCACATTTACAATAACTGCAGTGATGACAGTGCACACATGCATTAGGCATGGCTCCTGCACCTGGCCAAGTGTCTGCCAACTAAACCCAGCAGTCTGCTGGCAAGGCGGTTAGTCTGGCTCAGAATATCCTAGCAGACGTAACGCTATATGACCTCCCATTCAGTTCACATATTCCATGCTGGCCTGGCTTTGGGTCTCAGAGTGTACACGAATGCGACTAGCATGCAAGATATTTAGACCTCACTCTTTTCTAAGTAAACCAAAGTGGCTGCTTTTGCAGAGAACAAGACACGCATCCTGGCCGACATTGCTGTGCAATCCTTTATGGTTGTCTGTGAGCGATAAGATAAACAGAGACAAAGAACTCTTGTGAAAAGGAAATAGACGTAATACATACACTTCGGAAGTGTCCTGGTTGGGAAAAAGCGGGGTGCTTTTTCCTCATACTTTTTTCGCCCAGCTTCGTTGAGGTGGATGCCGCATATCATGCTAGTGGAAGTTGGTTCCCACAGTGAGTAGCGTCCAGTGGTGCCTGCAGAGAAGAGAAGCAGTTAGCAACCTGTTAAGCCTCCCAAGTAAGTCTTAACCACAACAGTGCTGACATGTTCTTTGAACCAATCAAGATGATGCTAGATGCGAGCATTGAGCACGAGCCATGTACCACGAGATAGGATTCTGAATTCTATTGATGCCACGTGCACTGGCTTACCTTCCTGTCAATCGTAAGCATTTCACAGTGTAAATGAACGAGAGTATGAAAAGTAAGGGAGGCATTTACTGGTTGAGTAAGTGTGACGAACCTTGAAGATAGACGACTACGGCCATCACAGAAGAACATAGAAATTTTACCCCGAGCAAAACTCTAGCTCATCGTTGCAGCTTCTCAAGTTCTACATCACCAGTACCCCAAGAAAAAGCTAGCAATGCTGTTCACACTGTGCAGTGAGTCGACCTTTGATGCCGTACGGGCCTTACTGGCCTTCAAAATTTGTGTTCGGAAAAGTGTGAGGCACCTCAATGAAAATTTCAACCAAAAGCCACCAGAACTGCTTAGTAATGTTTGTTTTCACCAGCGACATCAAGTACCATCAGAGAGCATCACTGAGTATGTTGCCACTCTCCACAACATAGCTGCTACCTGAAACTTCAAAACCGGTATACAACATTCAGGCTAGAGCTGCATCTACAGCTACTCAAACCATTCGGTAATAACAGCACCAGCACCTAACTGGTCACCAGCTGCTCGAACTGGGGAGACCACTCACACCAATTTTGTTGGACCATTCGAAGGCTTCTCTTATCTAATAAGTGTGAAGGCCAATGCGCTCCACGACATCCACGTGCATCACTAACTATCGGCGCCCCCCTTTTGCAACTTTAGCCATTGCAGGGATCCCACAAATTGCCCCATCGTTTAGCTGCGACAGCTCGTCAAGACTACCCAACTTGAGCTATCTGTGGAGGGCGCCCCGACGGATTACCCCTTGAGAAGCGTGGGAAGCGAGTTGAGTAGTCCTTCCCAGAACCAGGTTGGAGGCGTCTTCGTGGAGCGGGGGCGGAAAGGGTGGAAGGGAGGCCTTTGCGGCTCCCCTCATATACATGGAGACGGTGCTGGTGCTGGGGCCAATAGGACTGTCTAATATCCCCGATTGAAGAGGCCCAGTGTCAGTGTACTGGTTTTGAGGTCCTGGCGAGCCATGACATGAAATGAAACAGGTCTGCAGAGACCTATGTTTGTCTCCCGCGGTCCGAGTGCAGCGTAAGTTTGTCTTGCGGGACAGAGAACTTGCGGTGCGCAGCAACAGATTTGGCGCTAAAGCGCAACTGTTGGCGTTAGGCAGCTGCGAGTTGCAGCAGCAGCAAGACAGCCACTGTATTTATATTTGTTCATCAGTGTAAATATATTCATCAAAACTTCCATCATGTCTGCTCCGGTTCCTAACTGCCGAGAATGGCAGACCACCATAGCACAGCACATTGTTCTACGGTCACCCGGTCCTGATCGAAACCTGATCGAGACGGAGACCGGGAGAACAACCATCCTCAAATAAGGCCGAAACATTACTGCCACGTTGCAAATTATTTATCCTGACATGCACCAAAACTTGCTTTGAACGAAATGGACAAGGTGGAACGGCATTCTTCTAATAAAATCAAGTATTGGTATATCGACGAAGATGCCAGTGACAATGGTGATGAAGATTGGCCAATCATTGATATGTTTGGTATAAAATACGAAGTCTTCATTTTTGTTGACAAACAATTTTCGATCTTATTACAGAGTAGTGAAACATTAGTATCATCAGTTAACACAAATGACCGAGTCTATAAGCACGACTTCGTGTGCTCCCATCGGAAGTGACTAGTCTGCGGAGAGCTCATGCCGTGCAGCGCATGTATCACTGGGGAGCATGTTAAAGGGGCCCTGCAATCATATTTAAGCATGTACCTTTTTTTGCGGTTTCCACGTCCCTCGGGGTTCGGGCAAGCCAGCGGGCCCGGAGAGAGTAACTAAATATCAGTGAGTCATATTTTAACCAGACGACGCGGAAGCCTCCTCCACCTACGAGGGCGACCCGCATTGCCGAAAGCGTGCGATATGTAACGTCTTAGATCCTGGGCTTACTACTGGTCAGAGCCGCGAAAAGCTTCTTTCTTGTTGAAATACAAAATATAAGTGGCACGAAACGTTTCAATTATTTATAAAAGTAGTTTATGTTCACTCTTTTAGACC